CGAAGAGGATATATTTATTGGTTCAAGGCTGCATACAAAACCCATGTTCACCTCAGTCCTCCACACACAAGAATCAACATGTATCTTATCTGATCAAATATACCTCTTATTGCTTGAGATTTTCAGATAATTTAAATGTGTGTGTGTATGTATGTGTATGTGTATATGTATGTATGTGTATGTGTATATGTATATATGTGTATGTGTATATGTATATATGTGTATGTGTATATGTATATATGTGTATGTGTATATGTGTATATGTGTATGTGTATATGTATATGTATATGTGTATGTGTATATGTGTATATATATGTGTATATATATATGTGTATATATATGTGTATATGTGTGTGTGTGTGTGTGTGTGTGTGTGTGTGTGTGTGTGTGTGTGTGTGTGTGTGTGTGTGTGTGTGTGTGTGTGTGTGTGTGTGTGTGTGTGTGTGTGTGTTTGTGTTTGGCGCACGTGTGTCTTCATAATAGTTACAATCTTTAAAAAGAAAAAAGAAATCATTACTCTTAATGCAGAGGATAAAGGATGACCTCTGTTGCAATCATCTATAACAACACAGGAGCTTTCTTATTTAAAAAAAATGTAGACAAATAAGGTCAGATACAGATGTTGTGGTGTTTGTTCCATGTGGAGACACTTACAACTTAAGATTATGGAATGTGACCCCAAGCTTCTGTATGTTTGATCGTCACTCCTTTATTATGAGTGCTTTTCTGATTGTCAGTGTTGCAAATCAAGAAAATAAATAAATAAATAAATAAATAAATAATAATAATAAGTTGAACCATTAAGATGCCATGCTTGCCTTGGGAGGGGGAGAGGTGGGGAGGGGGGAGGAGTAATAAGTATATACATATCTTTTTTAACTGCATCTTTGTTAGTGTTAAATGTACCTCACCCTTACCAGTGTACTTCCAGTGTCATTTTCTTTGGTTTGGCAACACTGTTGCCGAGGGTGTGAAAAGTGCATGTCTACTAACTTCACCAAACTGTACCTGTAACTTACACAAAGAAGAACAAGGACAACAAGAAAGAGCAAAGAAAAGGAGCAAAAAGGAGAATAATTAAAACAATAAAACAGAATAAAGTACATCAATCTATATTGCAAAAATATAAGACATACATACATACATGTAATAATATAAAAATCATAATAAATCATCATAAAAGAAAGGAGAGAAAACGAGGAATGGAAAGAAGGACACAGCAGCCGCTAAAACAGCTCCAGATCACCAATGAGAGGCAGCACAACCTGGACCCCAATGCTGATAAATAAAAGCTTTCTGCTGAAGAGAAGTACGTATGCCAACCAACCAATCTAACAGAACAAGCAAATTCTACATGCAACTGACCAATTAACTATACACATATGTTAATTAGGACTAGATTTTAATAAATAAAAACAAATGAAGTGGAATTAATGATTTATCAAAGTGGTTTCTCTTTGCTTGTAAACTGTCATAAAAAAAAGAAAAAGAAAAAAAGGAGAGAGAAGGAATGGGAGGGAAAGAGGGAAAAGGGAGAGAGGGAGAGAGAGAGAGAGGAGAAAGGGAGGGAGGGAGGAAAAGAGGAAGAGAGAGAGAGAGAGAGAGAGAGAGAGAGAGAGAGAGAGAGAGAGAGAGAGAGAGAGAGAGAGAGAGAGAGAGAGAGAGAGAATATCAGTAACAAAGAAGAATTCAGACAAAATAATGTCATGATATCCATGAATTTTGAAGTCTTGACCAAGAATTGCTGTGATATAAAAAAAGTAGGCAAAATGATGAGAAAAAGCAAAGTAAAGAGAAAAATAAAATTAAAAGAAGAAAAAAACTACAAAGAGAAAAAAATAAGGAGAAATGACAAAAGATACAAGATAAAAGAAAACCAAACTGTATCACATAAACCTAACACAAAAGCCCAAGGAAACCGGTGGAGCCAAAACATGTAAATCAGGGACAGTTTACGTCTCCCTGGCAAAGGCACTGCAAGTTCCTTGAGCCCTGCATAGCACTGGAATGTGTCAAACCTTGGTGTGATTAAGGTCTCTGCATTCCTCTCCCAATTCTGTACTCTGGTTACTTGGTGTGATGAGCAACAAGTTTTGAAAAGTTTTTGTCACAAAATAACTTCTTGGCTTGTCTTTCGCTTAACCCATTCGCCCCAAGAATATATGCCATGCCCACTGTAATACACTTTTATTTATTGTATTTACACATAGATGGCTCTACAAGTTCTTAATCACCAAATAGCCAGTTTATCAGAACTACCTATCTCACCTGTTTACCCTTTTCCTTCACTTTTGTATTTTTTTTTTTTGTATCATTTCATTGTGTAAAATATTTCAATGACAATTTAATAATCATAACATCAATAACAATAATATCAGTATCGATAGCAATGGTATTAATTTTACAGCCAATTCAATGAATGGGAAAATCAGGATCGGTAACTAGGGCCTACTGATAGAATCCTTGCCGGCTGAGCACATGTGGAGCCATCTGTATGTAACAAAATTCACTAAAAACTACAGGGGACAGAACATAAATCCTTGGCGAATGGGTAAAAAAAAAAAAAAAAAAAAAAAAAGAAAAAAAAAAAGAAAAAAAAGGACATCCAGTATAAAACATCTCTCTGCATTGTTCATACACATACAATTCTCTAACAACTGCTCAAAGCACTGTACAATTTCAGCTAGGAGGCTTAATGATATACGAGAAGAAAAGGGCAGGAAATGAATGACACAAAGAAAGAACATAGCTTATTTGTATGAACTAGCTTAAAAAAAATCTATTACATATGAACATTGAACAGATTTATAAGAACCAGTAAAGCACACTAAAGAAAAGATATAAACTTAGACCAATTCAATATGCCATTCCTTAAAGTGGTGCTCATGAATGACAGCCTAGGAAGACTGATTTCACAAGTGCAATGACAATATTGATAAAGCAGAGTTGACAAAAACACTCTGTAAAACATGTTGAATGAACATCTTGCACAGGAATCTGATCTAGTGACTGCTAGATCTCATCCACAGGCTTTCTCTCATACTGCATTCCATCACACTTCCAATGCATACATTTTTTTTTACTTCCACAAAGCATTGACTTCATTTTTAAAATAGACAGCATATTCGTGATTTTCTTATGTTACAAGTTATGCATTATATACATATAAGGCAAATATCTACTTTTCAAAATATATCCAACAAACTGCTCTATCTCTTTTTTTTTTTTCTTTTTTTTGTCTCTCTTTTTACATATATATAACAGACGCAAGCACACTCGGCCTCAGAGGAAAATCAATGGTTTCCTTCCTCTTCACCTGCACTCATATAGCACAAGTGGGTCCTCTTTATCCTCGTCTCTGTCCCGAGCTTCAGAGGTCATTCCCCTTCCATCTGCCCATCGTGGACCTGCTGGAGAGAGGGTGCAGGAGGAGGGGGGAGTGGAACCACTCCATTTTTGAGTCTATTGGCAGGTGGGCATGCTGTTCCAAAAGGACTGAGAGGGTGTAGGGGGCAGGAGAAAAGGACTGATGGGGGTAGGATGGGAACGCAAGGATCCTCTGCCTCACAGTGCAGCACAACCCGATGACTTTGAAGGAGACTATGTGAGTGAGCAAGATGACCAGGAGGCTCTCACTCACACTTGTCCTTGACGGTGAGCATTATTAGGTTGGTTTGATGAATCAGGTAAGTGGCACTCACGAACACTGCATTGGCTCTGCAAGAATGACATATCTGTTGAAGAGTCTTCCTTAGAGATGGCTACAACTAATAGCAAAAGCATATGCACACACACACACACACACACACACACACACACACACACACACACACACACACACACACACACACACACACACACACACAGAGGCACAAGCAGACAAACACATTTAAACTCAAGCACATGCAAACAGCTACTCACAATCTTGCTAAGAAAAAAAAAATCTTAATATCAAAGCTGGTAACATTTGTCTTTAAAGCAGACAAATATGATAAGCCTCCAATAACAGATGCATGATGAAAACAGAAAATAATAATAATAACAAGTTGGAGGAATAGTAATATTAGTAGTACTTAATATTATACTAATACTAATACTGATATTACTAATAGTAACAATGATAATAATAATATTAATAATAATAATAATAATAATAATAATAATAATAATACAAAATAACAACAACAATAACAATAACAACAACAACAATAATAATAATAATAATAATAATAATAATAATAACAACAACAACAATAATAAAAAAGCTATAAAGACAGAAAAAATAACAACAGCTACAGTAACAATCTCGTCTCCCTTGCTCCTCCTCAATGACTCACTGTCCCTCCTTGAAGTACTCCTTTAAGGTGTTGCTGAACTTCTTGCTGTGTTTGACAAAGTCGCGCTTGCGATGCTCCAGCGACTGCTTGCCCTGTGTGCCGGGGATGTACTGTGAAACCTCGGAGACGGCATCCAGGAGCTTCTTGATGGCGCTGGCAATCTCCCTATGGGGAGGGGGGGGGATCGGAGGTTAGGGGTTTCAGCTGCAGCACGACAGTGAGGAGGACGATGAAGATGGTGGTGGTGGGGATGATTGTAATACCGGTTATGATGTTTGTGATTATGATTAAGCTGATATTAATGGAAGTGTATCTGCGGCTGTAAATGTACGAGTAAATAAAAATCTAAAATCGACGTCAAACATCTTCAGTCGCCACAACATGACCCCAGGCAACATGACTTACTTGATTGTCTCCAGGAAGGTCTTTCTGTCTGTGATCTCGTCTGGAATGCGGGACAGAATGCGCTTGAGGTTGGCCGACTTCTTGTTCAGCTCCTGGAAGGCGTCCTCCGTTCTGGTCACCCTGTAGTCACCAGCTGATCCCACAAAGAGAGAAAAGGGTATACTGTTAGCACAGCACTTTTAGACATTTCCATGTCACTCCAACAGTGGTTTGTCACCTTTGGATCCAGATGCTTCACTGCCATCATGTAGGCCAAAA